AAGTTTATTGAATGATAGAATACAAAGCTCCTGAAAAGGGAGGGGACCTGAGAGGGTTGCCCTTGCCCCCCATTTTTAAAAAAAAAAAGTTTATTTGAGTAATCTCGACATCCAAAGTGAGGCTTGAACCCACAACCCTGAGATCAAGAGTCACATACTCTTCCAACTGAACCAGCCAGGCACGCCCCTCCCATTTTTTTTTTAAAGTAAGCTCTATGCCTGATGTGGGGCTTGAACTCAGGACTTTGAGATCAAGAATCACATGCTCGGGCACCTGGGTGGCTCGGTTAAACGACTGCCTTCGGCTCAGGTCATGATCCTGGAGTCCCAGGATCGAGTCCCGCATCAGGCTCCCTGCTCAGCAGGGAGTCTGCTTCTCCCTCTGACCCTCCCCCCTTCATGTGCTCTCTCTCTCTCTCAAATAAATAAATAAAATCTTAAAAAAAAAAAAAATCACATGCTCAACTTACTGAGCCAGCCAGGTGCCCCAGTTTCCCTTGTTTTTAACATTTAACATTAACATGGTACATTTGTTAGAATTAATGATTGTCCCATTTTTTGGTGTTTTCCCAGACATTTAATTTTTTTAATTTTATTTATTAATGTGTATATGTGTGAGAGAGAGATAAAAAGAGAGGGAGAGCACAGAGAAAGAGTGAGAGGGAGAAGCAGAGTCTGCTGAGCAGGGAGCCCGATGCGGGACTCGATCCCAGGACCCTGGGATCATGACCCGAGCCGAAGGCAGTCGCTTAACCGGCTGAGCCACCCAGGCGCCCCATAATAAAAATTTTTTAGGGGCAGCTGAATCGATTAAGCATCCAACTCTTGATCTCGGCTCAGGTCTTGATCTCAGGGTCGTGAGTTCAAGCTCCACATTGGGCTCCACACCCAGTGTGGAGTCTACTTAAAAAAAAAAATTTTTTTTTTAAATAGAACCAGAGGGGCACCTGGGTGGCTCAGTCAGTTACACGGCTACCTTCGGCTCGGGTCATGATCCCGGGGTCCTGGGATCGAGCCCCACATTGGGCTCCTTGCTCAGCTCTGGAAAGCCTGCTTCTCCCTCTCCCTCTGCCTGCCTCTCTGCCTACTTGTGCTCTCTATCTCTCTGTCAAATAAATAAATAAAATCTTTTAAAAAAGATAAATAAATAAAAATAGAACGAGAAAAGCATCACTTGCCAGCTGTAAAAAGGGTCAAAAAGAGAAACACAGACAGCTAGATATAGGGCATTCAAACAAATACACTCACACTCACACATGTATATTTCCTTCGTCAGCTGACAAGGGCCCTTTACTCACACATGGAACGCTTCCTTTCAGGGCCATCCCTAGGTGAAATTTTGAAGAGGACAGTTTTTTTCTTTCATATGCTTAGACCCATGTGCTGTTTCAGAAACCCCAAACTTATTGCTGTCTTCCGACCTCCTAAGTTTGCTTTTGGGGAAAAAGTCTGACCATTTGAAAGTCCCTTTGTGACTGTACATCAAAGTTTAATCTCTTCTAGGGATTTACCTTTCTGTTTTGTCTTCACTTGGGCAAGGCGTGGCATTGTTTGGGAATTTCAGGCAAGGGGTGTTTGGCAGGCACAGGGGCCATCCCCAGCGCCCCTGGCATCACACCTGCAGGCAGTTTTCCTCCAAGGCCTGAAGGAGTGGACTCCCTGCTTTCTCTAAGGTGATGGGGAGCACAGTCTGCGGCCTGCCCATTTTGGAAGTGGCATTTCCCAACTCACCTCTTGAACCAGTAGTTCAGAAAGAATGGATCCTTGCTCACAGGGCAGCAAGACTACCTTGATCCCATGGCTCACCTTGATTCTTTCTTGGTCCATACACCCTCTTCCTTGAATGGGGAGGATGGGAGGAGAAGGTCCTAACTCTGACAAAGCTTAAGCAGCTGCTTCCTGAGACTGATGGAAGTTGCCATCAAGGGATTCTGGTACTATGGGCAGATGGTTTTTTGTTTGTTTGTTTTGGAGAGAGGGGGAGGGGCAGAGGGCGAAGGAGAGAGAATCTCAAGCAGGCTCCGTGCTCAGCGCGAGCCTGCTGTGGGCCTTGGGGCTGGATCTCACAACCCTGAGATCATGACCTGAGCTGGAAATCAAGAGTCAGACGCTTAATTGTGCCGCCCAGCTGCCCCGGGCAGATGGTTTTTATTTCCAGGTTTGTCTGTGTCTTCTCTCTATCCCTGGCCTCCTTGGGCAGTCCTGGATCATAAAAGGCAGAGTGGGCAGATACTTACTTCACCCAAGTAGGGAGATGCCAGGGCCCAACCTAGCTCCATCCATAATAAGGGGCTGCTGCTGGCCCTTCCTCTCCCTTGTGGTCCCTTCTTACTCCCCTGGAGTAGATCATAGCTGGCTCTGGTTCTGTTCTGAGGACAGGAACTCCTGGGACAGCTGCTCCTGCATTATGTCAAATACATTTCCTGTTGATTTGATTAGTTCCCGTCGAAGCAATGCATTTATGAAAGAAAGGGAGATTTTGCAGGCATGTATTTGCACAGGCGGCCAACCTCCTTCAGTCACACACACACACACACACACACACACACTTTCTCCCCATCCACCCACAAAGTGTCAGTCACATTTAGAGTTTGCACAAATGCACACCCTCCCTCACACATCACAATGCACACCCTCTCACCCACCTACACACTTCTTCCACAGAATCACACCTGCTCACATACCTTAAAGCACGTTCCTATACCATGCTGAGAAAGAGAGGAAAAGATAGGTAAAAATTCGTTGCTAGGGCTCAGGAAGGTAAGCACTCTATGTGGGAGCTAGAAAGTCAGAAGACCAGGACCCAGAAATACTTAGAAATACTAAGAATTGAGAAGGATTCAAAAGCAGGGGTAGAGAAAGCAGAGACTCAGAGCTCCTTGGCCCCACCAGGAAAGTGTGCTGCCCCAGGGCAACAGTGATGTGCCTGAGGCCTACAGTTGAGATAAGAATTTGTCTAGGCTGTGAGTGCAGAAGGCGGTGGCATCCCCAACACGTCCAAGAAGCCCATTTAGACTGGTAGCTAAGGGTCGTCCTCAGTCTGGGATTCCCTGTCAGAATTCAGGAAACAATGGAGAAAATGAGGGGAGAAAAGGAAGTGGAAGGTTGGGTTTGGACTCCGGGTTCAATATCCTTTAGGAGAGGGTCTTTCCAATGTCAACCAGAGTCAATAGGAGGAGGCTTTCTTTCACTGGAAACTTGAAGTCCCCTGGAGAGAGGAGAGATGTGGGAGAGGGCCTTGAGGAGTGACAAGTGCCCAAGGGCAGAGCTGTAGCTGCCACCTGGCCCCAGTAGCATGGCCCCGGTGACCCTGACTTCAGCCCCAGACTGTGGTCGGCCTGCCCTTATCCGACTCAGCCCAAACGCAGAAGCTGTGGCTTCTGGAAAGGAACAAGTATTTTCCTTTAAGAAAGGGTCCTGGATGGGCGCCTGGGTGGCTCAGTCGTTGAGCGTCTGCCTTTGGCTCAGGTCATGATCCCGGGGTCCTGGGATCGAGCCCTGCATCCGGCTCCCTGCTTGGTGGGAAGCCTGCTTCTCCCTCTCCCACTCCTCCTGCTTGTGTTCCCTCTCTCGCTGTCTCTCTCTATCAAATAAATAAATAAAATCTTTAAAAAAATTATTAAAAAAAAAAGAAAGAAAGGGTCTTGGAGCCCACCCACAACACCCAAGAAAACTGGCATAGCGCCCAGCTACACACAGACTTCAAGCCCCTGCCATCCAAATCTGACAGCCCTCTGGGGTGTCTCCCCGTGTTGCCACCTGAGGGCGCCCGGAGCTGGGTCTGAGGCTGCCGCCGGCACTGCTGTTGTTGTTATCATTAGGATAATTAATAAGCAAGCACTGATGGGGCCAAGTGGAGGAAGAGGCAGGCCCCTGCTGCCCTGGAGAATCCCTGGAAAGATCCAGTGGGGCTGTGGGCAACAGGGGACTGAGTGGCTCGTTCCTCCTCCCTAGCCAGGACTTCTGGGAAGGGCCCTCTGGAGTAGGCTCCAGGGGACAGGTAGAGAGACAAGGGCGAGGGGAGGGGAAACACTTGGTAGGCTGCATTTGGAACCGGCTCAGCATCTGCCTGACAGGATGGCTTCAGGCACAGCCACCGCCGTGATGACTGGTTGTGGGGCAGGCCAAGCTCTGAGGCAGTTATTCATTAATTTAACAGGCATCTGTCTGCTTATTTATGGAATGCCTACTGTGTGCAAGGTGGTTTACTAATAATAGCTAAGGTTTTATTGGATACTGTGAGGACACAGCCAACTTTCACACCATGTCTTAGGGGTTGCGGGGGCGTGTAGATGCAGAGGAAGCAACTAGGAAGATATGGGCCATGGGGCTTTGGCCTGTGTAGTGTAGCAGTGGGGATGTCAGATATAAAACCTGAGGATTACCAAAAAGATCTTGGAAAACTTGAGACCCAAGGCCCAAGATCCTGGAGATAAAGGGGTGGGAAATGGGGCACGAATATGGGAAATTTGGGTGAAAGGCTCAAGAAAGAGGCAGGAAGGGGTGTTAGTAGATCCTGAGGGGGGAGCCTTGAGTCACGATTTCGGGGGCCCCTGACGGTTGGGAATTTAGGGGACTGAGATGCTTTATGTCCTGAGATGGGGGACGGGACTCTGGCATCAGAGCCTGGACAAAAGTTGGGGTGCGATAGAGGCTCTAGCGAGGTTTGACAGCAGGAGCTGGAGTGCTGGGTCTGAAAGGATGCGGGAAAGTGTTTAGGGAAAGGAGGGGCGTGGCTGAGTGCGCCACCCGGGCACCCGGCCGATCCTCAGGTCGGCCCTGGGGAAGCTGGCCCGGGGTGCCGCGGCGGTTGGGGAGGCCGGGGGCTGGGGGCCGGCCGGACAGGCGGCGGCCGGGTAGGCGCTCCGAGCGAGCCGCCCGAGGCTCCGCGGGGGGGCGGTACGAGCTCGGGCTTGAGGGCGGGCGGGCTGGGGAGGAGGCGGCGGCTCGCAGAAGAACATGAATCAGCGGCGGCGGCGACGGCGGCGACGGCTGTGGAAGGAGCGCGGTGGCCCAACAGCGGCCCCGGGGACCCCGCGCTGCTGACGGCGGCCGCGGCGACTCGCAGCGGGCGCGGGTCTCGGAGGCGCGGGCCCCAGTGCCGCCCCCCGGGACGGCCCCCGCCCCTCCCGCGGCCGTCCTCTCTCGTCCCTCCTCCTCCGTCCCTCCTCCCTCCTCCCTTGTCGCTCGCGGGCCGGGCCCGGCATGGTGCGGCGTCGCGGCCGATGGCGCTGAGGCGGAGCATGGGGCGGCCGGGGCTCCCGCCGCTGCCGCTGCCGCCGCCGCCGCCGCCGCTGCCGCTGCCGCTGCTGCTGGCGGGTCTGGCCGCTGTGCTGCTGGCGGAGCCCGCGGCCGCAGGTAGGGGTTGGTCGGGAGGCGGCGGAACGCGGGGGCGCTGCGGAGGGGCGCGGCCGGGTGGGCGCCCAGGGACCGCAGCGGAGCGAGCCCCGGCCTGGGCGGGCCGGAGACTTGGGTGGGGGGACCCAAGCTGGAAGGCCGAGGCTTGGGGGCTGGGGGAGGGGGGCGCAGCGCAGCGTCCGCTGCAGGTTCTCGGGCCGGGGCCCCACCCCCAACTTTCTCGCGTCCGGGGCTCTTCTGGCGGGGTGGAAGGGAAGGGAGTGGGGCTGTGGGCCGAGTGGTCAGAGGAGATTTTCCCGCCTCGACGTGTCTAGTTGTTTGCTCTCCCCTCCCAGTCCTGGGGACCCCATTCTGCCCGTCGTGCACACGAGAGCCCCGCTCTGAAACCACAGGGGCTGGACTCAGCACCCAAGAGGCACACCTACACCATTTAGGTACAGGGGCTGTGAGGGTGCCCAGTCACGGAAAACATCTGGACATACTCTAGTTCCTGTACCCACTCAGCTTCCTAAAACGGGGAATGCTGGCGAGGATGGGCTGGAGTGAGGTTGCTGATCTTCGTGGGGGCTAGCCTTCGAAGACATTGGCCGGTTGTAGGAGGGCTCCTCTCCAAGCTCCCAGGTCCCTCTGGGACTGTTGGGTGTGTATGGGGTGTGAGGTCATCCCTCCCTGCCCTGTGACCGGCCCTGTGTCACAGGCTAAAGCAGCAGCCTCAGAGCTGGTACCTTGTCTGAGACCGCACTCCCTGCCATATGAGATTCTCAGGGAAGGGAAGGCAAAGAGTGACAAGTTGACAAGTATTTACAAGGTGAAAAGTGTGTATCTCAGGATCAGAGAGCCCAGGAATTTGCCTAGGGTTGCACAGCAAAAGCAGGAAGAAGCAGGACTGGATTCAGCTCTGTGGTAGTTCACCTGCCCCTCTGCTTAAAAACACGCCAGGAGACCAGGAGTGTGTGTGTGTGTGTGTGTGTGTGTGTGTGTGTGTGCAGAGGGTAGCATTACGCAAGGTGGCTCCTGTTGGTGTAACAGTAGCTCAGGGGTCTTGGGCTCCCTTTTCAGGGCCCCTCCCCTCCCTTCTACCTCCTACCTCCCTAGCACCCGCCCCTGCACACATTCAGGTATTAATAGAGCGGGTGGCTGCCAGGAAGACTGCCATGTGTTTGATCTGACGTGGTTCTGCAGCCATATGTTCTCCACTTCAGGGGAGCACCCCCTCCTTCTCTTCCTCAGCCTCCTTTCATTTGCCGGGGTGGGGTGCAGGGGCGTGCCAGCAGCAGGGTGAAGTCTGGCCAGACACCTCGGGCAGGCAGAGAGCTGGCTGCCTGTTGAACTACAGGGGTGCAGCAGTACCTGCCCCAGGTGTATGAGAGGGCCCCACCTTTTTAGCCTGGCTTGCCTTCCTTTTGGTGGTTGGGCTTGAACTTAACATGGCCCAGTCGGGAGGTACGGGGAAGAGGTCACTTCCTTGGAGCTGGGGGGAACTTGGCAGTGGCAGACATGGTGGCTGGAGAGCTTGTCATTTTCCTTCCCCCAGCCAAGGCCCAGGCCACCTTCCCTCCCATACTGTCCAACCTCTGCTTTCTTGACCATTAGCTGAGGATGAGCCCTCTGACCCAGAACCTAGGTTCTGGAAGAGGATGGGGGATATTTCCAGGGACAGGGTCCCTGTCAAGCGGGCTGACACCTTCTCCTTCTCACCTCTCAGGCCTGAAGCTCATGGGAGCCCCGGTGAAGCTGACCGTGTCTCAGGGGCAGCCCGTGAAGCTCAACTGCAGTGTGGAGGGAATGGAGGAGCCCGAGATACAGTGGGTGAAGGATGGGGCTGTGGTCCAGAGTGTGGATCAGGTGTACATCCCAGTCAGTGAGCAGCACTGGATTGGCTTCCTCAGGTGCAGGACCATGGGGGAGAGTGTGCATGCCAGCCTGGGGGCAGGTTGTGCTTTTTCCCTGGGCTTGGGAGCTGGGGGCAATGCTGATGCCCGGAGATCTGGGTTTTTTTTATTCAACAACCTATGGAAATTTCCAGAAGTGGGGGCAGGCTGAACCCACTGAGTCTGCCCAGCATAGCTGCGCACCCCCTTGACCCTGGGAAGTGAGCCTGGTGTCCTGTTTCCACAGCCTGAAGTCAGTGGAGCGCTCTGATGCAGGCCGGTACTGGTGCCAGGTGGAGGATGGGGGTGAAATGGAGACCTCCCAGCCAGTGTGGCTCACGGTAGAAGGTGAGGGGTTTTTCCCGCCTCCACGTGTCTAGTTGTTTGAGACTCATGTCTCACGAGTGGGCGTGTTGGCCTGGAGCAGGTGCTGTCTTCTAGTGACCACACCTCTGCAGAAGAAAGCTCAGTGGAAGCTGATTTGCCCCATTGCCCTCTGAGGCCTGATTGCTCCAGGCTCCAGGCCTACCCTACCCCAGACACCGGAAGACCCTACTCATTGGAGTCTGGGTATTTCACAGCCAAGGGGGTGATAAGGATCTCCAATCTATGGGGTGCAGTCAGTTTCAGTTGTCTGAGCAGCAAGCCTAAGCACCCATCTGGGGCTGGACCCTTTCTGCCAAGTGGCCAGGCCAGGAGGGGGAGGGCTGGGGGAGGGGAGGAAGGATCCGCAGCTGTGGGAGCTCAGAGCAGTTCAGCCCAGGAAAACAAAGTGACTAAGAAAGTAACAAAGGGCCCTGAACGGGATCTGGGGCCTGCCAGCAGAACTCTGCTAAAGCTTCCGCCCACTCCTCCTCCCTTTCTGACCCTCCCCCAGCTCCCCACCCTCTGCCTCCTCCCCTGCTCTGGGAAGGCCGTCTGAGCAGGTCTGGGAAGCGAGAATCTACCATGCCCAAGGGGACAGCATAAAGGATATTCCTAAGGTGCCCAAAGAAGGGAAGCTTCCCCCCTCAAGCTAGACGCCTGTTCTGCAGTTTGACCCAGTCGTAAGGGGCCTGTAGGACCTTCTGCATAGAGGGCTGCAAATGGTAGCAAACTTGTGGTTTGGGTAGTTGGAAACTGAGAAGTGGCAAGGCTCATCCCTCCACCCCCCTTTCTCCCCAGGTGTGCCATTCTTCACTGTGGAGCCGAAAGATCTGGCAGTACCACCCAATGCCCCTTTCCAACTGTCTTGTGAGGCCGTGGGCCCCCCTGAACCTGTTACTATTGTGTGGTGGAGAGGAGGCACAAAGGTGGGGGGGCCCGCTCCCTCTCCCTCTGTTTTAAATGTAACAGGTGAGCAGCCTCAGGAGGGAGCTTTGAGTAGGGTTGGTGAGGCTGGCAGCGTGCAAATCTGTGCAAATCACCAAGTCTGCTCTTGTGAGTGTCCAAAGCACACCCCGGTGCCTGGGTTCGTGAGCTGCACCGTTACTAAGCTCATTAGTCAGGTGTGCAAGGCTGGCCAGGGGAGCTGATCAGTGATCCTACTGGGCGTGCTTGAGGCCTCTGGAGCCTCTTTCCGTCCTTCACGGTAGTCCAGGCTGTGCACAGCTGGCCCTGGGAGATGAGTCGTGTGAAACCAGGGGCACCCGTTTCCCCCACCCCTCCCAAGGGAGGGAGCCGGGAACCAGCCCACGCAGAGGTAGGAGGAGTGTCTGGCAGGCTTGCCTAGAAGACAAGAGTCTAGGGCTGCAGAGTAGGGAATGGCAGGGAGAAGGAAAGGGGGGTGGGTGCAGCACAAAGAAACAGGAGCCTCCTCTCCTAATGACCCTTTCCAGAAATTTCTAGACATTTTCTCAAACAACTGTATTTATCCATACCTCCACACAGCCAGACCCAAAGCAGCAACGCCTGTACACCCCCCTGGACCCCAAGATCCTCAGGCACACAACGAAGCTTGTGAGGCTACCTTCTCTGTGAAATAAAGCTCGTGTTCCTGGTTGAGGCTTACACTGACCAAAGAAGTTGGGAGTCTGAGCTTGGTCTCACATACTGGACGGTGGGAGGGATAGGTTCCGATGTGCCAAGCACCCTAGCAATATGAATCTTGAGAACAGGTGGGCTGCCGGACCTGTTTGGGAGGTGCTGGGTTGGAGCCGATGAGAGGGAAGTTCAGTTCTCTCCAGATGTGCATGGTTGGGACCCTCCAGCAGCCGGCCTGATAATAAGCACTCACTGAACTCCTACTCCACACACCACACTGCTAGGCACCATGGGGGATCGAGGGAATACAAAAGATACAGAAGCCGTCAGTCCAGCCCCCAAGGAATTAGTGTAATTGGGGAGACAAGACACATGCATAAGATGCTGAGAACGATTGCAGGGCAAAGAATCTGCAAATCAACAATGATGCGGGCGTAGAGCAAACAGAAGGGCTCTAGATTGTACAATAGAGGAGTGAACAGAGAAGGGAGTCAGCTTTGTGCTGTCTGCGGGAGGTGGGATTGAGGCAGGGGTGTAGTATGACCTTTCTCAGGTGCTTACTGTGTGCCATGCGCTTTATGTGGGTTCGCACAATCCTCCCAATTCAAGAGATGAGAAGATAGAGGCGCAGCCTTGGGGTTTATAGCCAGGCTCGTTAGACTCCAAAGTCCCTGGTTGTTCCAACCTGTTTAGCCCCTTCCTCTGGCTGGAGGGACTTCTGGATATTCAGATCCAGAGCCTGCACAAACCCCCTTCCCCAGTCCCAGGCTGAATGGGAGTTGCTGCTTGGGGGGCACTGACTTGAGGTTTTCTGGCGTCAGGGGTGACCCAGAGCACCGTGTTCTCCTGTGAAGCTCACAACCTTAAAGGCCTGGCCTCTTCTCGCCCAGCCACTGTTCGCCTTCAAGGTAGGAGGACTGGCAGGAGGGAGGGAGGGTGAGTGAGGCAGGGGCGTTTGCAGCCAGCTGTCCAGCAGGCGGGGGAAGTTACAGTCATTTGGTGTTCCGGCTTCCCGAGGCCCTGCTGGGACCCGAGGGATGAAGGGTTAATTGGCAGAGCTCCATCCCTAGTGAGAGCACCTGAGACCCTGCCATGGCTGAGATGAGAATAGAAACCTGACGTCACAGCAGATTTCCCATCACGATGATGCAGAGTCCTCGGGAGGGAGGGAGGGAGAGAGGGAGCCAGCAGGAGATGGTCAAGGCTCATGCCCAGCCTTGCTTCTGCCAGTCCCTGTGGAGGGAATGGGGCTGTGGAAAAGAGCCTAGCAGGATGATAGCGGAGATCCAAAGGGCTGGTGTGCACAAAGGGAGGGAAGATGGGAAGGAGAGAACCAGTGGGGGGGGGGGGTTGGGAATGGGTTGTGGCTGCCTCTCAATTGTCTCTCCCAAGGCCAGGGTACTGTCGACCCCCCCCGCCACACCCATTCTTATCCTATTCCTTGGCCAGATAGGGCCCCTGATTCAGAGAGAGGCGACCTCTCCCCGCAGCCAGCTGATGACACTCTCCCTGGTATGAGCAGCTCTCCCCTGCTGGCTTCTTGGCTTGTGTATGACTGTGGTGCTGGGAGTGCTGGGTAGCCATCGTCAGGTTGGGGGGGACCCCAGGCCTTAGGGAGGGACTCGAGGCTTGACTCCGTCCTGGGCACTCAAGCCTGGGGCACTGACTCTCTCTCCTTGTCCACAGCACTGCCCGCAGCCCCCTTTAACATCACAGTGACAAAGCTCTCCAGCAGCAATGCTAGTGTGGCCTGGACACCAGGGGCCGATGGCCGGGCCCTGCTCCAATCCTGCACGGTCCAGGTAGGGAGAGGGAGGACAGGCTCTCCTGGCCATGTTCGTTCTGTGGCTGCCTCGGTGGCACTTTGTTCGCAGTGGTATCCCATTTACCTACACTTGTCCGTGGGGCTTGGTCTCCAGCTCTCTCCGGGTGTTGCTTCCTTTCCAGGAACAGCCCAGCCCGCCCCTTACCACAGGTGCTCTGGCCACCAAGTGACTTGGCAAATTGGCTCAAACCTGTACATTCTTCAGGCTGGAAAGCAGATCACTGGAGCAGATTTGGGATGCCTGGAGGAGTTTTTCTTCTGTCGGCAAAACCCCAAACCTTTGATTTAGCTGATACCTGTACCCTCATGCCCCATCCCCTGACTCATGCCAAAGAGAACGAGGGGACTGGAAGGGGTTCTAAGCCCCAGAGGGTGGAAAACCTGGGTGAGGTGATACCAAAAACAAGAGGCAATGCAGCCTTGTCTATTTTCATCTGTTTACTCCAAGTTTTTAATGAGCACCTTTGAAACTGTTCTAGGCAGTTCCCCCAGGCAGGAGAGGCCCCTACTCTGGGCTATAGCATTTAGAGGACCCCACTCTGGCCCTCCTTTGGCTGCAGCCCTTGCCCGTGGGCAAGGAGTCTGTAGAGACAAAGGGATATGCCCATCTAGATCATGAGGACATCCCCTCCCCTCCCCCAACTGCCACGCCACACCATCTTCTAGATACTCAGGACCTCCACCCTTATGGCCCCCAGTCTGCTTCTAGGACCTGTGTGGGCCTCTTCCCTGGTCCCTCCTTGGGAGTGCATGGTTTGTGCACCTCAAGTCCAAAGGGCAGCCATTGTGGGGAATCGGTATGCAGGTAGCATTGTCCACACCCGTGCAGTTGATGTTCCTCCCGGTACAGACCCTTGGCTCACAGGCTAGCTCTTCTTTTTTTTTAAAGATTTTATTTATTTATTTAATTGACAGAGAGAGAGAGAGACAGTGTGAGAGGGAACACAAGCAGGGGGAGTGGGAGAGGGAGAAGCAGGCTCCCCGCCGAGCAGGGAGCCCGATGCGGGGCTCGATCCCAGGACCCCGGGATCATGACCCGAGCCGAAAGCAGTCGCTCAACCAACTGAGCCCCCCCAGGCCCCCCACAGGCTAGCTCTTCTTGTGCCACCACATTCTGGCTTGGGAATCCTAGGGATGAGAGGATTACAAATGCAAACTTGACCTTCCAGATTGTTTTGAAGCTTTGTTTGTATACCATCATAGGAAATACTTTGTTCAATAATTTGTTAGCTGATTTATAACATTTAAATATTTAGCCATTTGTACACTTGTCCTGGGCCCCCAAAATGTAAGGTGAAGGCCTGGTTCACCGTGCTCCTAGGCTCCCAGTTACTCTGCCCTTGAGAAACAAACTTTGCACTGGCGTGTAGCTATAATAAATGGTAACCCTTCCAACCGAGTTATGTGCCAAGCACAAAAGGGTATGAGTTTTCTGGAGTAGTTGGGAAAGTCTTTGACAGAAAACGTGATATTTGCACCGAGTCTTAAAAGATGAGTTGGACTTCGCTAGGAAGAGCAGGTCATTCCAAGCAAAGGAACAGCATTTGCAAAGGCATGGAGGCGTGGAACTTGGTGTTATTAGAGTGGGGGCAGGCGGGAGGGAGTGGGTTGCAAGTGTTTGCTGATAGGCTTAGAGGAGGCATTAACTCAAGATCTCCCCCCACCTTCTCTGTCCCCTGCTCCTGCCCATGCCTATTGCATCTTCGGCCTCCCTCCTCTCCATCATTACTTTGCTGCTTTTCTGTAGGTGACACAAGCTCCAGGAGGCTGGGAGGTCCTGGCTGTCGTGGTGCCCGTGCCGCCTTTTACCTGCCTGCTCCGGGACCTGGCACCTGCCACCAACTACAGCCTCAGGGTGCGCTGTGCCAACGCCTTGGGGCCTTCTCCATATGCTGACTGGGTGCCCTTTAGGACAAAGGGCCTAGGTAAGGGGCTTGCAGAGCAGAGTGGCTAGGCAGGGCCTGCGTGGGGAACAGGCAATGTGGCTTCAGTCCTGAATGAAGTTGCTTGAGAGAGAGGTTACCTGAAAGGGGGGTTCCTGCCTCATTCAGCAAACATGGAGTGTCTGCTGCGTACCTATGAATTAGATAAATCCGACCCCTTCCCATGCAGCTTTAGTTCTAGGGGTGGAGCAGGCATGCAAATTAGAAAAGATCAGATCGTTTGGTGAGGAAGAGTGCCCTCAGGGTGGTCCAGACATAGCCCCATAAAGGGATTGAGGTTTGAATGATAAGGAACGAGCCACACTTGGGGGAGGGGAAATCACTGCAGAAGCAGGCACAGCAAGTGCAAAGATCCTATGGCAGGAACTTGCTTGGAGTTCTCCTATCAATAGCAGAGATGCTGGGGGGGCTGTGAGGGGGAAGTGGTGAAGGATGCTGCTGAGGCAGTGACCAAGAGCAGCACTGTACCTAGCAGGGTGCTGTGGGTCCTGCCATTGCTCACCCCTCCTCCACAGGACTCTGGGTGAGAGCAGTCAGAACTGGGAGGGAAGCTCAAACCCCCACCTGTAGCTGTCTGAGCTGTGTAGCTCTTGGGAGTTGGTTCCAAAGGCTAGCACGGGATGGTGATAGTGGGTAGGGCAGGGCTCTTAGCGGCCTTCTCTCTTTGGGTACAGCCCCAGCCAGCGCTCCCCAGAACCTCCATGCCATCCGCACAGACTCAGGCCTCATCCTGGAGTGGGAAGAAGTGATCCCCGGGGGCCCTTTGGAAGGCCCCCTGGGACCCTATAAATTGTCCTGGGTTCAGGACAATGGAACCCAGGTAAGGGGCACCCAGGTAAGGGGAGACAAGCCTCTGCTCTCCAGGTACACCAAGTCATCTGTCGGGACTCTTAAGACTTTAGAGCTTCCGAATGGCTGTCCTTGGTGGGCCTGGGGACTTTGGTGGGCTGGGCCTCCCACCACCCCAGGGAGTCCACTTTTCCCCACCTTCCCCTGCAGGCTGCTCTCCTTGTTGGATTGTCTCCTGTTAGGATTGCATCCGGTGGCTGCTTGTAAAGCAGGAAGCACATTCCTGAACAGACTGGGGGAGGGCACGGATAAGGCTGCCTTATCCTCAGCCTGGTTTCCCATCCCCCACCTCTGCCTGCCAGGACTGAGCCTTGTTTGTGTTCAGGGGAGGCCTCTGCGGCCTGGAGAAGGAATGTGATGACTCCCAGCAGGTTGTGTTCCTGAGGTCCCTGAACCCACGGTGTCCCTTACCTCCTGGGTTCCTAGCCAGACCTTTTTCTGCATTCAGGCCCCAGCTGGAGGCCTTTTCCTCAGCCTCAAATGTGGGATGGGGGTTTTTCCTGGCTGCAGGGTGAGCTGACAGTGGAGGGGACCAGGGCCAACTTGACAGGCTGGGATCCGCAGAAGGACCTGACTGTGCGTGTGTGCATCTCCAATGCAGTTGGCTGTGGGCCCTGGAGTCAGCCACTGGTGGTCTCTTCTCATGACCGTGCAGGTAAGGCCCGTAGGGGAAGGGCAGAGGGGATCAAGGCTCTCAGGGGCAACCTAGATCGGTGGAAGGAGCTTGGTAGCACCTTTGCTTCTAATAGACCCAAAGACTCAGCAGTTGAGGCCAGGGTTGGTATTTGAACGATATGTCATTCTGCCCCTGCGCCAGAACTTGCATAGAAACCCCCGGTCACATTGTAGGTTCCAGCAGCCAGGGCCTGTCACTGACAGGGTAGGAACTCTTGGGGCTTCCTTTGGAGTTTTCTTTCCCCTCGGGATCTTTATTGACTTAAGAGAACCTCTTGTCCAGGCCAGATGGTCATCAGTGGAAAGTTCTAAAGGGATTCCTTGATGTCAGCCTCACTCATGCCACCGCCCCCGTCTCCCACAGGCCAGCAGGGCCGTCCCCACAGCCGCACATCCTGGGTGCCTGTGGTCCTGGGTGTGCTGACAGCCTTGGTGACGGCCGCGGCCTTGGCCCTCATCCTGCTTCGAAAGAGGCGGAAGGAGACACGGTTTGGGTAAGGGGGGGGCAAGGAGGGAGAGGCGGGCGGTGACCAAAGATCTTGGGGCTGACCCAAGTCCTGGGTTTCTCCTTAGGCAAGCCTTTGACAGTGTCATGGCCCGGGGGGAGCCAGCCGTTCACTTCCGGGCAGCCCGGTCCTTCAATCGGGAGCGGCCTGAGCGTATTGAGGCCACACGTGAGTGTGGGGAATCATAGGAAAAATGGACTCTCTTCACGCCCCTATCCATATTCTTTTTGTTAGCTCACTAATTTGGCCAGTGTGTCTGAACACTGATGAGTCCTGAGCACACAGCAGTGGAAAAGACACATAGACCTACCCTCGTGGAGGTTGCCATCCTAGCTGTGGGAGAGCTAAAGTAAGCTCAGGCCTCCTCTGAGGGCTGAGCCTGGGGTGTGCGTCAGAGGCCAGAGAGGCCCCTCTTCTGTCTCACCACCCTTCTGCCCACAGTGGACAGCTTGGGCATCAGCGATGAACTCAAGGACAAACTGGAGGATGTGCTCATCCCTGAGCAGCAGTTCACCCTGGGCCGGATGTTGGGCAAAGGTGTGTGGGGCTGCATGGGGATTAGCCGGAGTGGAGTTTGTCTTTGATTGCTCCCAGCACTTTGGGGGTGTGGGTTTGGGGCAGCTCCTGTGAACACGATATGCTAAGTCGGGGATGTTTGGGGGAACGGTGGCTGGGGATAAGGAGGGCAGAGGAGCACTCCCAGCATACTTCCTTCGGCTGTGGACAAGGGAGCCTCCTGCAGTGGCCCCGAAGTCTAGTGATTTGTGTCCCTGGGGAGGGTCACCTTGAAGAAAAGGGGCTGGGGGTGGTAGGGCAAGCGGCCTCACCATCATTTGGGTCTGTTCCTAGGAGAGTTTGGTTCAGTGCGGGAGGCCCAGCTGAAGCAGGAGGATGGCTCCTTTGTGAAAGTGGCCGTCAAGATGCTGAAAGGTGAGTGGAGAACAGTAGACCTAGAGTGGGGAGTGGAAGGGGTGACTGAGCCGGAAGTAGGCTCTGCTGCACCCCTAGACTTTCCAAGAAGAGTTAGTCAGCACTAACTAGGATGCCGCCTGTGCCACGTGAATAATTCAAAAGCGTAAACCCACACACGTTTGCGCCCTTCGCTTTCTGTCGTCAGCAGTGACTGCCCTCTGGGCTCATTCAGGCTGATTAAAGCTGGTTGCCTGAGCGTCTGGGCTATCCAAACCAAAGGGAACTGTTAGCAAGTGGAAAAATGGTTGGAGAGCCCCACTCCATGGGAGTTCCTTCTGCTAATGGCCAGACTGTTTCCTGAGCCCTCTGGGAAGCCCAGGAAGGACAAGGCCTGGGAGTCTTGGGTCAGAATTGGGGGCACATCTCCCTTATTCCCTCCCTCCCATCTTCTTCTAGCTGACATCATTGCCTCAAGCGACATTGAAGAGTTCCTCAGGGAAGCGGCTTGCATGAAGGAATTTGACCACCCACACGTGGCCAAGCTTGTTGGTGAGCTCCTTCTCGGGGGGAGGCAGATATACAATAGGGCTAAAAGTGTGCTCCCCCAAGGTGGGAGGGCAGCCTGTAGGAGAGAAGTTTGGACTTAGCTGGTGAGGAAGCAGATAGCAAAATAGCAAGGAAGGTCCTGGCTGAAATCTGATCCAACTCCAGATAAGGAGTTTATCGTGCAGGCCCTGTACCAAAGGTCCGCACTTGAAGACTGCTCCTGTGGGCGCCTGGGTGGCTCAGTTGGTTAAGTGCCTTCAGCTCAGGTCATGATCTTGGAGTTCCAGGATCAAGTCCCGCATCAGGCTCCCTGCTCGCCGGGGAGTCTGCTTCTCCCTCTGACCCTCCCTCCTCTCATGTGCTCTCTCTCTCTCATTCTCTCAAATGAATAAATAAAATCTTTAAAAAAAAAAAAAAAGACTGCTCCTGTGAACAGAGGAGAAGGAGGGGACAAGTAAATGCTCCAGAGATCTGGGGGCAGCCAGATCTTAGGTAGTCGCCAGTAGGTAGGCCAGTGTGGACTTACAGGGAGGGAGGTAGCAGAGTGAGGGCTAGAGATAGGACCTAGCAGGTGGCGGACTCATGCAGACACCTAAGCCATCTCTTGACTGCTATGTGCCCTGCTCCTGACTCTCCCTTGTCCCCAGGAGTGAGCCTCCGCAGCAGGGCCAAAGGCCGTCTCCCCATCCCCATGGTCATCTTGCCCTTCATGAAGCACGGGGACCTGCACGCCTTCCTACTCGCCTCCCGGATTGGGGAGAATCCCTTTGTGAGTGCCTGAGGTGGAATGGCCAGGATTTGGAAAGGGACAAAGACCCTCGGATTGAGTTTGGCTTGGTGGGCAGGGCCGATTAAGCTGGTTGGGAAGAGGCAGGCTGGCTTTGACCCTTTTTATGTTAGAAGGCTTCCTTCTCCCTCACAAAGTCCTGCTGGGAATTTTAGGCGGGGCAAGGGCCCACTTCTGGGAGAAGAGACCTCTGGAGCTCCACACTGGGAGTGTCTTGACTCTCGGATGCTCTCTCAGATCTGCCAAAGCTTTGTCTTGGGAAGCCCCTCCAAACGCCCTCCTGTAATTCCAAGGACAGTCTAGGCTTTCTGGCCAGGGAACTGCCTTCATCCTGCCCTGGCTGGGTGGGCAGATCCAGCCTGAGCTTGCCCTGTCTGCCCACCAGAACCTGCCCCTGCAGACCCTGGTCCGGTTCATGGTGGACATCGCCTGTGGCATGGAGTACCTGAGCTCCCGGAACTTTATCCACCGAGACCTGGCTGCTCGGAATTGCATGTATGTGAATTCTAGAGGGCTCGGGGCATGGGGTGGGTGGGGAGCAGAGCAGCCTATGACAGGAGGACTAGCTAATGGTCAGCTCTCACCTGGGTGCGTGGGGACAGCTGGGGAGCAAAGATGCCCTGGTTTCCGTAAGGCTGACTGCATCCTCCAACACCCCTCACAGGCTGGCGGAAGACATGACAGTGTGCGTAGCTGACTTTGGGCTCTCCCGGAAGATCTATAGCGGGGACTACTATCGCCAGGGCTGTGCCTCCAAATTGCCTGTCAAGTGGCTGGCCCTGGAGAGCCTGGCTGACAACCTGTATACTGTGCACAGTGACGTGGTGAGCAGGGTGGCACAGTGAGTCTCGGTGGGAACGCAAGCAGCGTGGCCTGGGGTGTGGGTGGCCCTTTAGAGTCCTCAAGGACCTAGCCGGGTCTCTTCTTTGGGCTTTGGCTGCTCCCTTATGAGGCCCCTGAGCCCTAAGATGTGCTTGCCTTAGGGTTCTGCCCAGCTCAGGAAACCTAGTGACATCTCCCCTCCAACCTTGCTTCCATCCCAGTGGGCCTTCGGGGTGACCATGTGGGAGATCATGACTCGTGGGCAGACGCCGTATGCTGGCATTGAGAATGCTGAGATTTACAACTACCTCATCGGCGGGAACCGCCTGAAACAGCCTCCGGAGTGTACAGAGGACGTGTGAGTGCCCTGGGAAGGGGATCTGGGGAGGAAGGAGGAATTTGGGGTTTCAGGTGCTGCCTTCCACTACAGCTGCTGGTCCAGTGCGAGCTCGGAACCTCAACTGGACCTTTCGGTTTTTTGGTGGAAATGTCCTTGTCCCCAGAGGGAAGACCAACCTCCACTCCAAGCTGCCTCTTCATCTGCCACCTCCTGTTTACTTTCTCTCCCACTTTCCCATCCTGTATTTTTTGTTCCACCCTTTTTTACACTCTTATTTTCTCCAGTTTCCAGGAAGAACCAGGAACCATGAGGGCAGAAGGTACAGGGTTGAGCAACAGTGCACGATTCTGTCACCTTCTCCCCACCCCCCCCTTCTCAGTCCCCAGCTAGTCTAAGAAAACCTCCCAGGCTGAGCCCTCCCTCCCCCTCAGAGAGGGCTGCACCAGGGCAAGAAAAAACTGCCGCTCTATCACATTCCTTGCTAGACAAGGAGGGGGCGTGGGGGTGCTGGCGGGAGGTTGGCCTCCTCTTAAGGGAGTGGAGAGACCTAAGATCCTGGGGAGAAGAACTGCCTTCTTTCCTTTCTGAAAGCCTGGAACCTTTGGGAGTGGGGTAGGGTGGGGATACACCCACTGCACAGGGGAGTGTTGTGAACCCCTTGTGACTGGAAGACAGGGTTACTAGCGTTGGCTGGGTACTTTACAGGCATTCTTTCAGGTAATCCCCTTCTAACCCCATAAGGAAAAGACTATCATTATCCTATTTTGTAGATGAAAAACTAAGATTAAAGAGGCTAAGTAACATGGCCAAGGTCACACAGCTATTAAGTGGATGAGTTGGGATGTGAACCTAGATACCTGTGATTTTAGACTAGGTGCCTCTTAACTATGACACCAAATGTAATTTGTCCGTTCTAGTGTTGTATTTCCCACCCTGTGCAAGCCAGTTTCCCTGGGGCCCTGGAGGACCTTTTCACTAGTACCAGGGGGAGGGCATCCACAGTAATCCAGGGAGGGAATCTACTCCCTACTTCTTGCTGTGGGTTTGGACCAGAGGTCCAAGATCAGGGACAGGCAGAGGAATGCCTGGCCTGAGTGGTGGGGTCCTTTTTCTCTAGGGCAGTTGGTTTGAAGTGCCCTGATCCTTGACTGTGGGTGAGAGGGAAATCTGAGGGTGCGAGCCAGGCCCTACCCCTCCTGCTCATCTGCACAGCTCAGGGCATGGCAGGGGCAGGAGCTCAGGTCTCCCTGTGGCTGTAGCCTGCCTGGGCATCGGGGATCAGGCTCCGGCTTAGCTTCCTCCCAGGCCGGAGCTAGTGTTGTCAATGGGGTGAGCGCTGGCCTCCTACCAGCCAGCCTGGTGGACAGGCGCCAGTTGGCTCCTAGCACAGCCTTGACAATGTAGCCCAGCCTGGCCACATACCCATGGCCCCGGGCCATTTCCATGCCCTCTTCGATGTCTGGCACCATTCCTCCCATCATTGGGGGCCCCTGTCAGGAGGGCCAGTGTGTGGGGCAGTGTTCGGGGCTTCTGTTGTGGGCACAAGAGAGTCAGGCATTTGCTCTGACTGCATCTGGTCTCAACCCCCTTCCCTTAGTTCTTTTTTTTTTTTTTTCCTTAAGCCTGAGGCATTCCCTGGGAACAGGAATAAAACCTCAGGGAATCTGTAAGGTTCCTGATAGTGTATGTAAAAAGTGTTCCTTCCTGGGGGGGAGGTGGGGTGGGGTGGGGTGGGGGGAGGGCTGGAAGCTTTTCTAGATTCAAAGGTGTCCATGAACAATGAAGATTTAAGCCTGCCTGTGTGGGTGAGGATTTGGGACAAAGGGTGGCTGTTCAAATCCTTGCCATTAAAATAACACTGACTCCCGCTGTGTTCTGCAAGACAAAAGCACACCTAGTGCCCCCTCCCAGCAGAGCCTAGGTTGGACTCTCAGCCAGCTCCATCGCTTTCTACCTGTGTGACCTTGGGCAAGGTTCTTAATCTCTCTGGGCCTCAGTTTCCACAGTGGTAAAATACGGATCATTTATTTCACAGGGTTGTGGTGAGCATTAAATAATAAATGTCAGCTACTTAGAAGAGGGCCTGATACATAGTCCTACATACGGGTGTGTTAAAGTTTTCCAAATCGTGGTTCCGTATGGTTAAGGGGCCTCAGCTTCTCCTCGTGGTTCCTCACTGCCTCCCCTCACGCTCCTCTGCGCCCAGGTATGAGCTCATGTACCAGTGCTGGAGCGCCGACCCCAAGCGGCGCCCGACCTTCACGTGCCTGCGGATGGAGCTGGAGAGCATCCTGGGCCACCTGTCCGTGCTGTCCACCAGCCAGGACCCCTTGTACATCAACCTGGAGCGAGCCGAGGGGCCCGCCGAGGGAGACCCCCTGCAGCTGCCTGGCGGGGAGCAGGCCAGCAGCGGGGCCGGGGATGGCAGCAGTGTGGGGGCAACAGGGGGCACCCCCAGTGACTATCGGTACATCCTCAGCCCCGGGGGGCTCGCTGAGCAGCCCGGGCAGGAGGAGGAGCCGCCAGAAAGCCCCGCCAGTGAGGCCCAGAGGCGGCAGCTGCTGCAGCAGCAGGGGCTCCTGCCCCACAGTAGCTGTTAGCCCACAGGCTGAGTGCGGCCGGGGCCGTGCTGCTGGCCGAGGACCCTGGCCTGGGCCGTGCGGCGTGGGGGCTCCTGTGGCAGTCCTCCCAAGCTGCGCTGGAAGCCTGGACGGACCAAATGGCCCAATCCCGGTTCTTCCTGCGGCCACTCTGGCCTGCCTGGCATTGGCTCAGGCCGGGGCCGGGTGGAGGTGGGCCAGGCCTGGTTGCCTAAACCCAGGCAGCTGGCAGGAGGGGGTGGTTATGTTTCCATGGTTACCGTGGGTGTGGAGAGGAGTTGGGGGAGGGTAGATCCAGCCCTGTGGGCCCCTACCCTCTGGCTGAGCTGCTCCTGCTGCTTTAGCGCATGCACTGAGGTGTTTCTGACCCTGGGGGCCCCAGCCTTGCCCATGCTTGGGGTTTTAAGTGTCCAGGTTTGCTCTTCCTCACAAAGAGATGCCCTTGTATTATTCCCCTGTAGGTGAGAGTTGGTAAGGGGTTGATACAGTCAGGTCCCAAGTGCTGGGAGACAGTGGGGCATTCTCAGGTCTGAATCCTCGTCCCCTTCCTGATGACCCAGACGACCTAGGCCAGGAGTCAAGTGCAGCTGACCAGGTCACAGCAAGGCATGCTGGATCACGGCAAGCTGCCATTTGCTCAGCCTCTAAAGGCAGGGCACCCAGCCTGGCAAGAGGAAGGGGTGCTGTAGGCCTGCCCAGGAACGCGTGAGGCCCTCTTAGGCCCTCCCACAGGCTGTCTGAGCATGCTACCAAATCCCAGAATACCCTAAGACTAACAAAGGCAGCTGTGTCTGAGCTCAGTCCTTCCACGCAGCGTCCCTTAGCCCCAGTTTTCCCTCTCCCTGGAGACCCTCTTCTGTCCCGAATCTCCAGAGACAGACAGAAAATAGGCCTGGTGGCTGGCGTGGGTGAGGGGGAGTTACTGGAGCCTGGACCCCAGCCCTGGCTAGGGGAGCCCCCGGATTGCATGGGGCAGGCCCCTGCTGTTAGGGATATTTCCAAGCTGTTAGAAGCTGTTTAAAAACGGAAATAAAATTGAGAGCTAAATACCCAAGGCTTTGTCTCTTAACTGTTTACTTTTTTCCAGATCGCAAAAATGAAGCATCTCTGCATAGAGAAAAATCTGGAAAGACATATGCCAAAATGTTAACAGCTGTTACCTTTACATGATGTGAGTTAAAGGGACTTGTTTTCCTTTGTGCCTTCCAAGTTTTCTGCACTGAGCACAAAATGCTTTTGTAATTAGAAAAGACCCCAGAGGAATGTTATCACATTAAAGATAATACATAGTCAGGTAGACAGTTAGGAAAATGTAGAAAATCATTTTTAAAAGTGCCAAATACCTATATTCCCAGCACCTAGAGATAGCCGCCCTTGACCTTTTGAAAACGTAAATGTTTTGAAAAGTTCTTTATCTTGGAGTAAGGACAAAGACTGCTTTGGCTGTCTCCTACCCCTCTATCAGACTTTCCTTCTACCGTTGGGTGTGACACTTTGTTCTCACCTTTACACCATTGCTGGGAGCCAGGAGAAAATGGGAAGAAACAGGCAAAGAGAATGGTTTGCCTCCTCAGAATTAGAAGTAAGAGCATGAAGTTTACTTCTAAGTATTTCCACCTGGAAATTTTAGTTTAGAAGCTTTATTTATTTTTAAAGATTTTATTTATTTATTTGACAGAGAAAGAGCACAAGCAGCGGGGAGTGGCAGGCAGAGAGAGAGGGAGAAGCAGACTCCCCGCTGAGCAGGGAGCCTGATGCGTTGCGGGGCTCGATCCCAGGACCCTGAGATCATGACCTGAGCTGAAGGAGGATGCTTAACCGACTGAGCCCCCCAGGCACCTGATAGTTTAGAAGCTTTGAGAGCAAGCTCGTGGGAGCATGTAGCAGGAGGCATGAGAACTGGGCCCTTCTCCGTGCGGAGGGGTGTGGGAAGACAGGGAGGGACACAGGTATTGCCCTGCTGGCTAAGGGCAGTGGAATGGGGCGGGTGCTTCTGAAAGCAAATATCCTGAAAAACCTGGTGCTGGTACTCCAGATTCTGGTTCTCATGTGGATTGTGGATCGTGAGACCTGAATTCACTTCCAGGGAAGTGGCTTTCAGAATGTTTCCTGCTGTGATTAGCTTTAACTGCAGGTCATGATTACCTGCGAGGTTATGTTTGGGAATGATTGAGAAGAGCTTTACTCTCAAATAATTGTCTACCATTAATGGGCTCCTACTATGTGCCAGGCACTGCACCAAGCACTTCATATATATTATCTCATTTAATACAGAGAGCATTCCTACAAGATGGGAATATAATTATCATCCTCCGATAGGACAGAAATGAGGGTTAGTAACTTGTCCAAGGTTGTGTAGCTAATGAATGGTCAATTCAGGCTTGAAACCCACTAAGTCAGAGAGCAGAGCCTGTGCTCCCTCTCCCCCCAGCATTCCAGAGAGCACCCTGAAGCAGCTCTGTCATGATCATGTTATCTTTTGGGTGAATGCAGGTCAGCAGTAGGCCCCTTTTAATGTACAGGAGGCTCCTGGGTGGCTCAGTCAGTTAAGCATCCGACTCTTGATCTCAGCTCAGGTCTAGATCTCAGGGGTGTGAGTTTAAGCCCTCCATTGGGCTCCACGCTGGGCATGGAGCCTACTTTAGAAAAAAAAAAGTACAGGAGTTGTGGTGTGTGTGTGTGTGTGTGTGACAAAGTAATTAAGTAGTAGTTACCCACCAGTAACTAAATCTGTGTAAATAATTTTCTCAGCTCAGTCTTTTTTCCCCAAGCATCTTGGCTCCCCCATGGTGAAGGGGTTTGAGGTAGGTGATAATAGTAGAGTTTTTGAAAACTTTTTTTTGAAGTATAGAACACATCTCAAAAAAATACACCAATCAGAAGTACACAGTCCTTAAGATTTTTCACAAACAGATCCAAATAACCAGCAACCAGATCAAGAGACAAATATTACCAGCACTCTAGAAGCAACCCTTTAGGCCCTGCCCCAACCTCTGCCTCCTCCCACCTCCCCAAAGGTAACCTCTATCCTGACTTATAACATCATGGATGAAAGTAACTCTTTTTAAAGTTTACATAGAAAAAAAATAAAGTTTATATAGACTCCTATAGGTTGATTATTTTGTGTTTGCGTTCTTGGATCCCACAATATGTTTTTCAGAATCATCTAACCATACCGATTTTGAGAAGTGGGAGTCAAAAAAAAAGAGGAGTAGAACAGTGCTTCTGTTTTGTTTTATATTTTTGTTTTTTATTTTGTGCCTAGTTCAGTGCCTCTCCTACCTCAAACAAGCTCCCTCAAACAAATCACTGGAGAATCTTGGTAGAATGTGGACTCGGATTCAGTATAGGTCTAGGGTGGGGCCAGAGATTCTGCATTCTAACAAGTTCTTAGGTGATGCTGATGCTGATGCTGCTGGTCCACACATTGAGGTGCAATCTCCATCAGTAATTTGAAAGGGTGCAGTATGAATTTGAAAAGTCATTCAATGCCTCCACTATATGAGCATTCTAACAAAATCCCACTAATGGAAAAGATTAGAGCATAATTTAATTTCTACATCTTATAAAATTTAATTACTTCTCGTGTGTCTGCTTGATATTTTTCTACTTAAAAAAATTAATTTAGGGCGCCTCGGTGGCTCAGTTGGTTGAGCGACTGCCTTCGGCTCGGGTCATGATCCCGGAGTCCCGGCAGGGAGTCTGCTTCTCCCTCTGACCCTCTTCCCTCTCGTGCTCTCTATCTCTCATTCTCTCTCTCTCAAATAAATAAATAAAATCTTTAAAAAAATTAATTTATTGGGGTGCCTGAGTGGCTCAGTTGGAAAGCATCCAACTCTTGATCTCAACTCAGGTCTTGGTCTCGATCTCAGGGTCATGAGTTCAAGCCCTGTACTGGGCTCCAGGCTGGGTGTGGAGCCTACTTTAAAAAACAAAATAATTTATCTTTCGGATAGACGTCAAATACCCATGGTAAAAAATTTAAAAGGTATAGAAAGGTAGATGGCAGGGAGGGGAGGAAGGTAGACTGTAAAAATAAGTTTCCTTGTACCTGGCCCTTCAGTTCTCTTTCCAGAGGCAACCACTGTTACTGATTGATTGTGAAATTTTCAATAACCTATACACTTATTTTTCTTTTGCACACGTGGTAGGTTATTGTACAAGCTGTTCTGGCCCTTTGCTCTTTTTATTAACAGTATGTGTGGGGCACCTGGCTGGCTCAATCGGTACAGCGTGCAGCTCTTGACCTCGGGGTTGTGAGTTTGAGCCCCATGTTGGGTGTAGAGATTACTTTAAAATAAAAAAATCTTAAAAAAAAAAAACAGTATGTGTAAGTAAATAGCTAATGGTATATATTCTGGATACTCTAAGTGCTTTTGGTAATTTTTTTTTTAAGATTTTATTTATTTGAGAGAGAGAATGAGCTGGGGAGGAGGGGCAGAGGGAGAGGGAGAAGCAGGACTCCATCCCAGGATACTGGGATCATGACCTGAGCCAAAGGCAGACTTAACCAACTGAGCCACCCAGGTGCCCTTAAGTGCTTTTGGTATTTTAATTGTAATCTTCACAACAACCTTGTGCAGTAGGTACAATTGTTTCTATTTCATGGATGTAATTCAAATCTAGTACACCCTCTAGAGCCTCTATATTATGAAGATTTTTTCCTAGCTGTACATCTGCATCTCCACTCTTCTATGTGCTGTGTCATAATTGAACAAGTTCCTTATCAATGGACATTTAGGTTGTTTCCAATACTTGGCTATGAATTTTTTAGGCATACCATTCCATACTTGTAGGAATGTATCCATAGAAAAATTCCTAAAAGAAAAGTTGCTGAAGGAATCTGCATTTTAAATTGATATTGCCAAGGTGCCTTCCAGAGGTGAGTTTTGCCTATTTGGTAAGTGAGAATGGTATTTCATTGTAATTTTAGTTTCCATTTCTCTTATTATAAGTGATGCATCTTTTCATGTTTGAGAGCCATTTTGATCTTCTTTACCATGAACCGTTTGTCATATCCTTTTCTACTAAGTTGTCGGTCCCTTGTTACTAATTTATAAGTGCTCATCTTATATAAAGAAAATTATTCCTGTGTGATATGTGGCATAGATGATGTTTTTTGTTGTGCTTGTTCGAATGTGTTTGTGTATGAGTGTTTATGTGTGTGGCTTCTAGGTTTTCTGTTATACTTAGAAAGGATTTCCCCACTCCAAGAGTGTTTTTAGAAACCTGCATTTTCTTCTAGTGCTTCTAAAGTTTATTTTTCAATGTTTTCATTTTGAGTCGTCTAAAAGAAGTGAGATACGGATCCAGTTTTTTTTTCCAGCTGGCTACCCATTGTCCAAACGTCATATATTGAATGATCTATATTTTCTGAACATTCTTTAATAATAATCCATCTCTCTGTATATATAGTACTTCTTTTGTCATATACTATGTTCCCATATGTATTGGGATTTATTTCCAGATTTTTATTCCATTTCCATGTGCCAGTACCACTGGGTTACTGTAGATGTATGGTGTATTTTTCCTACACGCCCCTCTTATGTTTTTTTTGCAATGTTCCCTGGAGGTTGAAGGAATGCCAACATAGGGCATAGCATGCCCGCCGTGTAATGAAGGAATGCAGGTCTCCCAAGGCTCTACAGAGTGATTTGTCCATGATGTCACCCAGCAAGAAGGGGCACAATCAGGATCAGAACCCAGGAATTTACCTAGTTCCTCTATCTTTCCAGTGCCCCAGAGTTGGAGGGTAGAGGTGGTAGAGAGGCTGGATTGACTTTTCAGTCACCATCCACAATTTTTTTTTTTTAAAGATTTTATTTATTTATTTGAGAGAGAGAGAATGAGAGATAGAGAGCAAGAGAGGGAAGAGGGTCAGAGGGAGAAGCAGACTCCCCGCTGAGCAGGGAGCCCGATGTGGGACTCGATCCCGGGACTCCAGGATCATGACCTGAGCCTAAGGCAGTCGTCCAACCAACTGAGCCACCCAGGCGCCCACCATCCACAATTAACAGGTTTCTAAGTCCTATTGATTCCACTCTCCCAGTTTCT